GTTCCCTATGCAAACAACTTTGGTACCTAATGATTTCGTCTTTGTGGATGATAATCCTCGTCCACATCGAACAAATATTTTTACCGAAATTCTTAGAAACAACAATATTGTAAGAATGGAGTGGCCTGCAAAGTCGGCTGACATGGATCCGATTGAGCATGTATGGAGTAGAATCAAATTAAGACTGGCTGAACGGTTTAATGGTTTTGAAGATTTAGATGAATTGGTAAATGCAGTAAGGCAAGAATGGGAAGTTATTCCCCAGAATTTGATAAGGTACCTATTTAATAGACAGTATGCCGAGAAGAGTGGTGGATGTGATTAAAAATCGGGGTAGGCCTACCAAGTATTATTCTTTTTGTCCAGTCCATGTTCAATTTAGACTTGTGTTTGTCAAATTTCATTTAATATGTGTTTTGTTTTTATTTCATTTTAATTATCCCTACTTATAGTTGTTTTTTTTTTAAAAAAAAATTTATTAGCACTCCAAGAGCAGGTATTTCAATGTCACTTTAAAAGGTACAGAATAACGTAAAGTCGTCCCTAATACAAGTTTCACCATATCAAAGTTCCCTTAATTCAAGGTGGATCTTAAGCCACCTGAATGAACCGATTTCAAGTTCACCTTCGTTAAGGTAACATTGAAATACCGGCCCTAATAAATCTCGCGAAAAGTGGCAATCATGAAGTGGCATGTGTCTTTCAATATCACATCAACTAAACTCAGAAAAAAAATAAAAACAATTTTACAAAATTTCGTTTTTTTTTTTCGGATTTCTCCGAAATTATTCGGAATTTTTTAAATTTCAAACCGCCATTTTGTTGGTCATAAAATTGCGCTACTTTGCCTTAATTTAACCGACCTCGCGGACCTCGTACAATTCTGGTTAGAAAAATAGACACACTGTATATTTTTGTACGACCCTGTATAATATGTTCTAAAGTGTGTTTCCACATGCGCCATAATTGTAGTATTTGTTTCGAAATGGAATAATGACCTCAAAAGCTAATCGCATAATTCATGATAAAATCGTAGTGGGCTGCGATATTCAAAAAAGTCCCGAGGTACTAAGGTACTCTTCTAAACTGAATACCAAAAATCTACTTAACCCTCCCTGCAGCAGAATGGGGTGAACCCAAACTTTCGCAAAAAAATCGCCAACATATGTTTCACCCTGTATCGTTCAGCAGGTGGCCGGAAATCCGTTAACAACTGGAAATTAAATAGCAATTGGAGCATCCTTTCAGAGAAAGAAAATTTGAACAAAATCGGCCTGCTAGATTTTGAGTTATAGTCTTACAAAAAGTGACCAAAAATTGGGGTGTTCGATTGATGCGTAGTTTAATTGTCATTGCTATTTTTTTTAAAATTTTATTTTATTGATTCTTGATCCTTACCTTTTAAATGTCCTTGTCTCGATAATTATTGTATTAGTAAATGTGAGTGATAGTAAATTTGTAATCGTTGAATTTTTGAACATAACTTTTATATTTTTGTAAAACAGATGTTTTTTTTTTTTTTAATTAGGTATGTAGTAGTAAGTCGTGTAAAAAAAATGGATAGTTGATCAAATTTTTTACGAAATTTTAATTTCAGATAATTGTATTTTGATTTTGACTTGTTTACTTTACTGTGTATTTAAGCACCAATAAACGATTCTGATTCTGATTTTTCTTAATTTTCGTTCAAACAATCTTGTTTTATTATGTAGGTAATTTTTTTTTCTGCTCAAAATTTAATTTGAAAACGAAATTTGGACAAAACTGAATTTAAAAGTGGTACATTAAACGTAAGACGATCTGTAATATCCGAAAAACAAAAAATATACAGGGTGTGCCATTCGAAAATTAAAACTTCCGGTAATTTCCGGTGTAACCGGAAGTCAGGAAAACTTGTCGTGGATGCACAAAAATGGCGTTGCGTTAGAATATCAAGCCTCTCAAGGTTCGTTAATATCGATAAACAAATAAAAAAATGGCCGGAAAGTAATCTCGTGGGCACCCGGTATACTATCACCAGTGAACATTTCTATGTACAGGGTATTTGATTATATTTAAGTCCATACCTAGAGCCTTTACTATTTAAGATAGAAAAAAATTTTAAATACAAAACTTGACAGTTTTTGTCTATATTTTCTTCCATGGGACACCCTGTATATTAAGCGATAAAATGAAAGATCTTTTCTTCCTGATTCCAAATATACATATATATATATATATATATATATATATATATATATATATATATATATATATATATATATATATAAACAATGGGAGTTTCTTGGGGTATCGGTCGTCTTGAAGGGCTATAGGAAATAAAAATCTCTTTTTCCACTATTTTTTATTTCCTAGCCCTTCAAGACGACCGATACCCCAAGAAACTCCCATTGTTTATAAATTCGGTCGTCTTGAAGGGCTAGGAAATAAAAATCTCTTTTTCCACTAAGCCGAGCTTTCGGCAATTATTTATTGCCTTCGTCAGGGCTACAACAATATAAAAGATCTTATTATTATGAATAATCAAAACTATGACTAGGACATATAAATTTTTAACTATAACTTACTTGCAAAGTGAGAATTTTATAGTCGGAAAGCTTTCAAATTGTTGGAAAATTGTTGTTATTCTATTTTGACTATCAAACTGTACAGAATATAAATGTTAAAAATATGGAAAAATAATTAATAAACAATAATTGATAGATATAAGAAAAATAGAAGAGATAGAAGAATATGTAGAATAAAATTTTGAAGTGTATAAATACTAGTTTCTGATAGACATTGATTTTTGGTGTCATCACTAGACCAGTTAGGTAATTTTAGGAATAAATTTAATTAGATGTAAGTAGGTTCGAATAAATATTACTGAGATCTTGAATATCCTTTCTTTTATTTAGGCATAAAGGTTCTTGAGATATCTCTACCATTTCTAGAAACAAACGTTTATTTAAATTTTGTTCATGAATAATCACTTGTGAATTTCCAAAATCAAAATCGTGTCCTTCTTTAGTAGAATGTTCTGAAAGAGCACAAGAAAGAATAGTTCTTCTACAATCACTTTTATGTCGTGTTATCCTATCTTTTAATACAGTTGATGTTTGACCGATATAAACTTGATTACATTGTTCGCAAGGAATTTTATAGATTACTGAAGATTGTTTTGAAGTTTCATCTTTGTCTTTGACTTTAGAGTATAAAATTGCCTATTTTATTGATATGTTTGTGTGCAATTTTTATGTCTGGTATAATTTCTAATATTTTGATTACTTTTTGTGAGACACTTTTAATATATGGTAATGCAAAATAATATATTTTATTTTGTATCTGAGGATCATTACTATTTATTATAATATTATTATTTTGTTGGTTATTCCCCATAGAATTATTTGTAATAAGTGACGTATTGTATAAATATTTTTTGAGAAAAGCATCTGGATAAGAGTTATCTTTCATTATATTATAAAGTTTTTTTATGTTATTTTCTCTAAATTCAGGGTGGGAAATTCTCTCAATTTCTTCGGCGTAATCCTAATATAACATTTATTTTCATTTTTGTTGTATGGTAGGAATTGAAGTTGATATATCTACCTGAGCTTGTTGGTTTAGAATACCAATCAAGTTGGATTTTATTTTGATCATTTCTTATCACTAGAGTATCTAGAAATGGTACACTTTGATTATTTTCAGTTTCAATTGTGAATTGAATATTAGGATCATAACCGTTAAATGTTGAGATTAGTTCTGTAAGTTGGTCACGTGGGATTGCACAGATTAAATCATCCACGTATTTTTTAATGAAAGGCATATCAAAATGAAGTTTTGGAATACATTCGTTCAAAAGATCATCCATTACATATTGAGCGATAATAGGAGACATTGTTGCACCCATAGGTGTGCCTAAGATCTGTTTATAAAAAATATTTTGAAATCTGAAATATGTTGAATCGAAAATAAATTGTAATATTTCAAGAAATTGTTTTTGAGAAATCTTGGTATGCTCAGAAATAATAGACCAGTGTTTTTTAATGCTTTTTTCTATCTATTTCTATCTAAACTAAAATATGTCAAAAATGGCTCACACAAATGTGATCATTGTATATATATTTGGAATCAGGAAGAAAAGATCTTTCATTTTATCGTATAATATACAGGGTGTTCCAATAAAAAAGTTGAAGTTGTCTACGTTTTCCATTTTCCGATGCCATTTTGTTTTTTCTGATACGTTGAAAGAAAATATAGAAAAAACTGTCAAGTATTGTATTTGATTTTTTTTTCTATCTTAAATAGTAAAGGCTGTAGGTATGGGCTTAAATATAATCAAATACCCTGTTACCCTGTACTGCTTGTTTGTAGTTTCAAGATATTCTTCGATGTCTTTCCTTAATAATTATTTTGGCATCAGGGGTGGTTTGTAGACTGTAGTGACACCTAGACTAATAATATCAATTTTTCATATTATCACTCTACAGTCCTTTGTGATTTGCGTAGTGTACTCCTAGAAAAATCAGGTGTTGGGCCTGATCTCACCATAATTTTTGTTATATTTAGCCTCATTATAATCTGGAAAGTCTTAAATCAAAGCTGTTCAAGACAAAATCGAATTTTCAGAGTTCTTGCTGACACTTTTTATATTTTAATGTATTACATGAAACAGTTTTGAACGTGTACTAATTTGTCATTTAGTGAGTCCATGTTCACTAGAAAACAGAGGTGGTTCTATAATGTCTTTGCTTTCGATATCATTCATTATATCCTTTTGATCCAAAAGGACCATTAATCGCCATAATTTATTTTCTTTCTTATACTAATTATCCCTAGGTGATATTTTATGATAGACATTCCAAATCTGTTTTGTGATGTCCAGCATTACATATATTGGTGTTGTAAATTTCGGGTGCCAAAGAGCAAGTGATGTGATGAACTTCTTGTATTATTTTTTGAAATACGGGTTAATTAGTGTAATTTTTATGATGAATATAACTTTCCTTTTTTTTCTGTAGATACCACCCCAGTAGCCGTTATTACGAGTCACCATCGACAACATCATATCCTGGAAGTAGTATTCTGCGCAAATCCTACGACACGGTGCCCCTGCCCCGTGGTCATATCAGAAAATTTGACCGTTTCGACTCGCTGAGTCGCATAGATTCTTTGAGTCACAGATTGGAAACCATGAGCGTTAAAGGGGATGACCTAAGCGACAGAAGACAAAGCGCCACGCAGCAGGATTTAAGTTTATCGCGCAGTCCCCGACTGCGCCGTCGGAACTCCTCGTCTCGATTCGAGGACTATTCACCACTACCTGTTCCGGTGCTGAAAGCGCGCTCTCCCGTGGCAAAGGAGTTGCGCAACGCTGTTCCATTCAGCTCAGACGCGCACAGAAGATGGCAACAAGTCGAGTCGCCTCGTAGCAGTAGCATTTTAACGCAGCTAAGCTCCATTAGGGCGCAGCTGCAAAGGGAACAGCTGCGCATGGACGAGAGTCTGCGCAGAGACGGCTTGATGCGCACAAGGACAACGGAGGATTACTGACCCCACGGGTAATAATAATTAATTTCTTTATTCATCTATTTATTTATAATAATAATAATTTGTGGCTGATAAAGCACTGTATCCAGCAGTATATTTATTGCTACCGAATGCGTAGACGGTACAGCCAAGGACGCCGGCTGATCGCCGTCCCACACCTTTATCTCCATCCATATAAAAAATCCAACACCCATATCCACTTCGGATATCCATCTAAGTCCTCCTGAGGTTATTACAGTTACACTTTTCCTCAACTCCCCAAAAACGAGTAACAACACACCCATGAAAATGGAGAAAGAGAAAAGCTTCGGAAAAAAATCGCTGCCTGGGGATCGCCAGGGCGGGTTTGGAGCCGATGCTGAAGTCGACAGTATGCGGGACGTCGGTGGCAGAAAGCTGAACAGGCGGGCTCCTGTCTCTAAAGAACCTACAGCCGACTCTAATCCTAAAGGTAACTCTACCCAGCACCATGAAAACACGACCTTCCTTAGACTGGATATTGTTGGGGATGGAAGTTGTTTGTTTACAGCAGTGAGTCTGAGTTATGTTAAATGTCGCTCATCTGGTAGGTCACAGTTCGATATTTGCTTAACTGGTTCGAGAGTTCCAATAATATCTCCTTCCTTTATTTTTACTGTTTTAGAAGAAACATTGGCAATTCTCATCATAATGTCTCCATTTGTTCTTACTAGATAGTCTTTCCAACGAGAAATTTTTCTGGTTTATCTCCAATAAAATTTTTCCGCCTTTGCTGAATTCTTTAAGAGTGTCTATAAGAACTCGGAGCAAGCTGAACATATCAGAGCTTTCAAAAACTCCGAGCTGGTTGAAATCCCAACGGTCACTATTGAGGACGTCACTGGTGCATGCAAGATTTTAAAGGACAAAGCTACATCTGGTCCAGACGGCATTCCAAGCTTCTTTGTAAGGGATTGCTGTGTTGTTCTAAGTAGTCCCCTCTGTCACATTTTTAATCTGATATTAAGAAACGGCGTATTTCCAGACGTCTGGAAGATTGCCAAAGTTTGCCCTATTCTAAAAAAGGACGACCCATCTCAAGTTGAAAATTATCGTGCTATTTCTATTCTGAGCAACTTTTCCAAAGTATTTGAAATTATCTTACATAAACATTTATTCTTTTTAATTCAAAACCGACTATCAATTCATCAACACGGCTTTTATTCCAAAAGATCATGTATGATTAACCTTTGTTCCTTTTCATTTTATGTATGTGATGCTCTAATGTGATCTACACCGCTTTTCGTAAAGCTTTCGATCAAATTGATCATCAGTTACTTCTGCAGAAAGCATCTAGCCAGTTTGGTTTTTCTAACAGACTTGTTTCAGTACTAAAATCCTATCTCTTGGGTCGCCGACAATTTGTTAAGATCGAGGGTTTTAGATCAGACCTCCATGGCTCCAACTTGGGGCCGCTTCTGTTTAATATTTTTATCAACGACCTTATTTGTATGACGGACGGAAACAGAGTTGCATATGCTGACGATTTAAAAATATAGCCGCATCGATGCTGTCGCCGACTGTGTATCCCTCCAAGCTAGTATCAATGAGGTCAGCCAGTGGTGTGTTGCTAACAGACTGGATCTCAACATCTCTAAGTGCAATGTTGTCTCTTTTTCTCGAAGAATTAATACTATTCAGTGTAATTATTCCATTGGAGGCTCGATCTCTTGAGGTGGTTTTTGACGAGAAGTTGTCTTTTGTTTCTCATATCGATCAGATGGTGACTACCGCTTCAAGGACCTTGGGCTTTATAATAAGAAACTGTAAGCATTTCTCTAACGTTGCAACTTTTAAGCTCCTATACTATTCTTTTGTTAGATCAAGGTTGGATTATGGTTCTGTTGTGTGGTCCCCTATCTATGACTGTCATCGGCAGTCTGTGGAGTCAGTTCAGAGGCGACTTTTAAAATATGTTATATTTAGAGATGATGGCATTTTTCCTCAGCGTGGCCTCGACCATGGTCAGATTTTAGCCAGATTTGGGGAGCTGCCCCTGGCTGTACGACGAGACTCTCAATCAGTATCCTTTCTACACAAGCTTCTGAATTCTGAAATTGACTGCCCATTCTTGTTAGAACAATTACCATTTCACGTACCCCGTGTAGAATCCAGACATCAACCAACATTTTCCTGTTCTCTCGCGAGATCAAACGTTCTGCTGCACAGAATGTGTCTCAATTTTAACAGAGTATCTGATCTGTGCGATCTAAACCATGACAGTCTCCCACCAATCCTAAAGCATTTCCAGGGGGTATTTGGTTTTCCTTTCCAGTAATTAAGATAGGGCATGTATCTACGTGTATATTGTTTATTATTATTATTTAGTTTTCAAATTTAATTTAGTCTATGTATTGTATATTAATTAATTCGATTACTGTTTGAATTTCCTGTAATTGGGCTTTGACCTGTTGGAAATATATGGCTATTTATTTATTTATTCATTTATTTATTTATTTATAAAATTATGTGTTAGTCCAACGCAGCACCCATAGTTTGTTTCCAATTTTCCGCAAATGATCTTGTCAGTACTTCCAGGAATCCTCACTGGGTTTGTCACCAGGATCTTAACGGCTTGGGATTCTTCTTGTTTTGTTTTTTTTTTTTTGTCGCCTGGCCTTTTTGTCTTATTTTTCTTGGTGTCGTTTAGCCTCTTCTTGTTTCCAATTTTGCTTGTTGTCTTGTAATAGGCCTATATAGAATGTTCTAGAATTTCCCCTGAACTTGATTCAAATATCTTTCCTGGTCTTTGCTTGAAGTTCCAAACACGACGGTTAAGTCATAAATTGGATAACCTGCTTTATTATCGAATAGAACGTTCTAGGATTTTCTTGAAATTTCTTTTCTGAATATCGATTGATAAAGCAAACACGTCGGTGAAGTCAAAAATTCAATATCCCCCTTGGTTTCCAATTAGACTGTTCTAGAATTTTCCCGGAATTCCTCGAAATTCTTTTTCTGAACGACGATTGATATATCGAATACGTCGGCGAAGTCAGAAATTCGATATCTCCCTTGGTTTCTAAATAGAATTTTCTAGAACTTACTTAAAAATTCACTATCACAGTCAAAATCGTGTATACAGTCACTTCCGGGGTAATTTACTTGATCGGTTAAGTCTCTTTTGGTAATTGTCACTGCTAACACTGACTAACTGTCCCAGTGTTCACTATAGTGTTCACACTAGTATCCGCGCACTATTCTGCATTTCTGCAATCGGATTTCACTTTGCAGTCCTCGAATTATGTCTCACTTCTGACACCAATTTCACGGCTCTGGAGTGCGTGACAGAAACCTTGGGTCCGTTTATTCCAAAATCAAAGTCCAATTAACACAATAATCATTTATTCCACGTTACTATACACTCTTACACTAATCACTTCACTAATTAACTCAATCAACTCAACTCGTCACAACCACAGTTTATAAACCTCTAGCGAAATCAATTGTTTAACTCCATATGATTTCGGTGAAGCCAGTTTCTGTTTTTTCATGCGATCCTCATATTTGGCGCAAGCGCATTATAGGTTGCAAAATGGCGGAATCCGATGGCCAGCTGATGATTGCACAGAGTCGGATTCGAATTTATTTCACTCACATATTTTATTTTTATTTGGATTTTTCTATTAAATTCAATATTTCACTGGCACATTTTTAAAATAGTAGCAACAGAAGAAAACTTTCATGATGGAAGCTTTAACACTAAGATATCAAGTAATTTTATTGAACAGACTAGTTTTGATTTTTAATATCAGAATAAAGCTTTACGGGCATAAAAAAAATTCAATTCAATTCAGCGTTTGAATAAAAAAAGTGGAACTAAGCTATATTTAGCACATTTGGCACTAGTTATTCTTCTTGAACAAATTTGGTGCCCTAGATGATGAATGGTAATAAGCTAGATACCTACGTACCAGTCAGAATGACGGGAACCTAACTATTATGACTGGTTGACTTGATTGACACATAACCTTTCTTATTCATAGAGACAAAAACTGGCACGTTCTTTTCTAACATTAGATGCCCGCTTTTATAGTTTTTAGTTAACTCAAGAACTTTGTGTGTAAAAGTTCTGCGGCTGGCTAACCCGATTCTACAGAATAGGACCTAAGAAGTTCACTTTTTTCCCATTTTTGTGCAGCAAAACGTAACGGATTCAAACGAAAAAAAAAAGGAAATTATTTAAGGATAAGGATGGAGGAAAGTAAATAAGTAAACAAAGATTACTACATATACTAGAAACACTTTATAATCATAGATTACAGCTCAGTAATATCAAGTACCTATATAAATATGACATTAGCTTTTACTACTCTACTTTCCTCAAAATTATCAGTAGTAATACTTTTTTTAGTACCTGAATAATTCCCAATCTCATTATTAATTAACTAAAACTAATATGTGGAATATATCATATATAATATATAAGCAAATCTCTGTTTAAATATTTTAGTGTGTAAAAAATTCTTGTTCGAACAAACAGAGATGCAAAATACGTTCTAGGAAAATCTTTACAAGGATGTGGGCAAGGAAGAGATAAAATTGTTTCTCTAAGTTTTATGCCAACATTTGGTAAAATTGATTATTTCTTAAAGTTGTCAACGAAAACTTTCTCACAGGATCCAAAAAAATCAAAAAAGGCTTTATATGGAGATCTAAGGTTGCCAAATAGATCATTTGCAGCATTTTAGTAAGCTTTAACTAGTATAAATTGTATCTTCTGATAATTCTTGACTTTGCTTTGAATATTCTTCACATATCTCACAAGAAGGTTTTGCCAAACATTTTTTGATAAAATAGCCGCCAACTTAGAAGAAAGCGTTTTTCTGTACTAAATTTAATTGTCGATAATCCCTTGTATCCAAAATTATTTTGTCAAAATTTGTTGGCTGATTAAAAGCAATTTGAAAAGTTTCAACTCTTTCAGGGGTCAGTTGTGTTAGAATTTGGTCAAATTCCTCTACACAATTACTTCCTCCAGTCTGATCGAAAT